AGAGAGAGAGAGAGAGAGAGAAATTAAAGATGAGCCCCAAATCAAAATTAAAAACCACACAAGAAAAGCCACTGTAAATGAGTATTGGTGAACAAATGAAACGAGAATTCGCACCTCTAGGGATGCAAGATCATGGAAAAATCAAAGAAAGAAAGTAAATATTTTAAAGAGAACAGAATAGGCCAAATAGAAATTTCAGAGTGAAAATACAGGAAAAAAAATAGGAAAGAAGCCATGTTTAAACAGATGAGGAAGACTTAAGTCCCAAGGAGGAAGAATAAAAACCAACCCACTTCAGGATGACTTATATTGAACCTGCAGAACCAAACAGGAAATCTTAAAACCACCTGAGAGGAAAGACAGATTTGTACAAAATGACAGTTGAACTGGCAGCAGACTTCTAATTAGCAACCATGGAGTTAAGACTTCAGAGAGCAATGGAAAATTACTGCCAACCACAATTCCATACTCAAATTACTTTACAAAAATAAGAATGAAATACATTTTCATACAAAAACAAGAGAATTTACTACTCTCAGGTTCTAGAAAAGCTACCAAAGAATATCTCAGAACAAAGGAAATTAAACACAAGACACAAGAGTAGAATATCAGAGGCAATAGTAAGCAAAATAATTGATATGAATAAATCTAATAAGCTATTTAAAATAATAATTACAACAATAATAACTCAATTTAGATGTTTTAAAGCAAGATGAGCAAATAGAATTAAAACAGTTTAAGAGTTTGTATTAGAGAATAACAGAGATGCTAATTAACTTTACATTTTGATAAGTATGTATCTTGCAAATTTAAGAATAACCACAAAAGATCCATCCATGTTATTGCAAATGGCAGTATTTCATATTTTCTTATGGCAGAATAGTATTCCATTGTGTATATATACCACATCTTCTTTATCCAATCATCTATCAAAGGACACTTTGGTTGTTTCCATGTCTTGGACATAGACACAGACAATAGTTTAGTGGTTACCAGAGGATAAGGGGAGAGGGGTGGTAGATGAGGATAAAAGGAATCAAATATATGGTGATGAAAGGAGAACTGACTCTGGGTGTTGAACACACAATGTGATATATAGATGATGTATTAACAGAATTGCACACCTGAAATCTATGTAACTTTACTAACAATTGTCACCCCAATAAACATTAATTTAAAAAAAAAATAACCACAACCACAAAAGAATAGAAAACCAGAATGTATAATCCCAAGTAATAGAAGGTGAATAAAAATAGATTTTCAACCTAGTAGATGGCAAGAAAGAAGGAAAAGTATCCAAAAAGTAGAATAAGTGCAAGCTCTGAGCAACAGCGGTTCGAGTCCCGGCCCTAGCTGAGCTACCGCTGAGCTGCCAACAGGTGGCAGGATGGCTCAGCTAAAAAAAAAGAAAGAAATATAAAACAAATGATAAGATAAAATTGAGTCAACATATTAATCTCATTGTATGCAAATGGATTAAACTGTCAAAGTAAAAACAGATTATCTGCCTAGAACTTAAAATAAAACCTAGCTCCTTAATTTCAAGATTCACACTCAAAATACAAAGTGGTTATTTTAATCCAAAGAAAGTTATGATAGTAGTATGAATACCAGACAAGCTAGATCTTAAGGCCAAAAAAAGGCATTATTAGGGATAAAGGGGGTCATTACTTAATGATAAAAGGAGCAACTAAAAAGGATGGTAAAAGAATTATGAACTTATATGTACCAGCAAAATAGTCCCAAAACAGACAGAGCAATAATTGACAGAGTTACAAAGATAAATTGATAAATCCACAAACCAGAAAATATACCTCTCTCAGAAATGAAGATTTTTTAAATGAGGCAAAATGAATGAAAAAGAAGACCCCCAAAACTGAGAGAATCAGTTAAACCAAAAGCTGGTTCTTTGAAAATATTAATAAAATGGACAACACACAAATTGAATCAAAAGGGAAAAGAAATAATTCCCAAGTAAGCAATATTAGGAATACAGAGGGAACGTGGCTGCTGTTACACAGAGATTTTTTTAAATCACAAGAATGTTATGAACAATACCAAGCATTTACTTAAACATGTAAATTCTTAACAATGGTTCAGGTGAAATAGAAAAATGTAAATATAACTATATAAAGTAATTAAATCAATAATAGTATTTTTTTAAATCCACTCCCAAAAATAACATTGAACCTAAGTGACTTTATCAGGTGAGTTTTACCAAACCTATTAAGGAACAAATGGTTCCTGAGAGTTTTGTTTGTTTGTTTGTTTGTTTTAATTTTAAGGAGGGGAAGAGACGAACTACCAAAATCAGAAAAAGAACATGCACAAAATGAATATTATAGACCAGTTTCAATTACAAACATAGTTGCAAAAATCCTAAGTAAAATATTTGCAAATCATACCCTGCACATATTTTTAAAAAATACTTTATGACCAAATGGTAGTCCTGAGGAATGCAAAAACAGTTCAACATTAGGATAGCTCATAATATAATTCAATGTACCGAGAGCATCTTTTCATATGTCTGTTGGCCATCTGTATGTCCTGTTTGGAGAAATATCTATTCAGGTCCTCTGCCCATTTTCTAATTGGATTGTTTGTCTTTCTGTTGTTGAGTTGTATGAGTTCCTTATATATTTTGGATACTAGCCCCTTATCAGAGGTGCTGTTTACAAGTATCTTTCCCATTTGGTTGGTTGCCTCTTTGTTTTGTCAATAGTTTCTTTTGCTGTGTAGAAGCTTTTTAGTTTGATACAGTCCCATTTATTTATTTTAGCTTTTACTTCCTTGCCTTGTCAAATTCATAAAATCCTCTTTCAACCCAAAGTCTATAAGTTTAGTACCTATGTTTTTCTTCTATGCAGTTTATAGTTTCAGGTCTTATGTTTAGGTCTTTGATCCATTTTGAGTTAATTTTGATACATGGTGACAGACAGCAGTCTAGTTTCATTTTTTTGAACGTGGCTTTCCAATTCTCCCAGCACCATTTATTGAAGAGGCTTTCTTTTCTCCATTGTATGTTTTGGGCTCCTTTGTCGAAAATTGTCCATATTTGTGTAGGCTTATTTCTGAGTTTTCAAGTCTATCAGTCATCAGAGAAATGCAAATAAAAACCACAATGAGATATCATCTCACACCAGTTAGAATGGCTGTCATCAACAAGACAAATAATAAGTGTTGGACAGGCTGTGGAGAAAAAGGAGCCTTCATACACTGTTGGTGGGAATGCAGGTTGGTGCAGCTGCTATGGAAGGCAGTGTGGAGGCTCCTCAAAAAATTAAGACTAGAATCACCATATGACCCAGCAATCCCTCTTCTGGGCATATACCCCAAAAATCAGAAACCATTTATCTGTAAGGATATATGCATTCTGATGTTCATTGCAGCTTTATTTACAGTGGCCAAGACATGGAAACAACCAAAGTGTCCTTTGATAGATGACTGGATAAAGAAGATGTGGTACATATATACAATGGAATA